ATGGAGTACCATACGAAGATCCGGTGGCAGAAGCAACCGGAGAATCAAATGGGAAACATTATCTTCGGTGCACACGAGAGCGAAATTTGCAAACAACGTCGCACGATGGTTTGAATAGAACCCGGTGACGACCACTGATGTAGAAACCGAGTGGCAGCTCGTTAAAAGCGGCATACTCGAGGCTGCCGCGGAATGCTGCGGATTCACGCGCATTGGTCTGCCGCTGGAGATAAGAAAAAACTTCCTGGTGGACACGAGAGAACCACCGGCAGTGAGAGACAAGTTCGGAGGTGATGGGGTCGAATTTCCAGACGGCAAACAAGGTATTATGGCACACCATCTGCCGACGAGGTGGAAAGAAAGGTTGTCTAACAGTCATGAAGAACAAGTCTGGACACCCTCTAACAGACGATAAGGATGTTCTTCGATGATGGGGATAGTACTCTGAGGAACTCCTTATCTGGAGCAACTGCAGGAACGCTCACCTGTAGAGCAGCAGGAACGCACTGAAATTGCACAGGCTGTGAAAAGCTTGAAAAATGGAAAGACTGCTGGAACTGATGAAATCCGCCTAGAAATGCTCAAGGCATTACGTGAACAAGGCATAAGGTGGCTTACACGTGTCTGTTAAACTGTGATGACTGCAGGAAAGACAGCAGCAGACTGGGCAACGGGAGTTATTGTACTCGTAAGAGAGACCACAAGGAATGCTCCAATCAAAGGGGCATTACGCTACTGAGCCTCCCAGGTATAGTCTAGGCAAAGGTGTTAGAAAGGAGGTGCCGTGAAACAGTTGACCTCGAGATCCAAGAAGAGCAGTGTGGCTTTCGGCCCGGTCAAAGCACCTCTGACCATATATTTGCCCTGCGCCAGACCGTTGAGAAATCGTAAGAGTTCGCCCATCCGGTGTACGTGCTTTTTTGACCTACGGAAAGCCTGTGACCGGATCTCGCGCAACAGTACATGGGTATGCCTTCGAACACATGGGATCGATAGCCAGTTGCGACTGATCATCCAATCTGATAGAAGATTCCGTGATAAAGTAAATAGCGTTAAATGGAATCCTTTCAGCATTGACACTGGTCTCCACCAAGGCTGGGCTCTCTCTCCGCTTCGGTTTGTGTTGTACATGGATAAAATAGCCGGGCGCAGCCAAGACGATGAGTGTATCAATGTAGGAGATAAGACGAGAAGAAGGTGCTGTCGTTGCGATGAACTTGTTTTGTTGTCACCTTCTGAAACTGATCAGGAGTGCTCTCACGAAAGGTTCGCAGCCGAAAACGACATGAAGGCATCTATAACGAAGAGCTTAGTGCTTTCTCGTCCTCCTGTCCGTTGCTCTCTTCAGAATAACAGAGGAGAAGTATGTCGGAGTGGTGTCACCTGGTGATGGAAAATTTGAGGAAGAGATCGACTGAATTGGAGTAGCCAGTGGAGTTCTGCGTGAACCAGCCCGACCCACTGCGACTAAAGCTGAGCTCAGTCTAAAAACTAAGCTCTCGGTGTTTAAGTCGATCTTTATCCCCCTG